ATTTCTCCTTCATGCAAATAAAACCCATTGATACATTTATAGAGTAAATTATATCTGACAAGACCTCTCTCGACTCTCTCACAGTTGCATCTAAACAGAAGAAGAAAATCAACTTGACAGGTTTTACTATAAATACGTCATCGTTTTGATCACGCAAGCCCATTTATGTATTAGACTGGGCCAATAGTAGTTAAGACTTTGAAAAAAAAAAAGCCCAATCAATAAAAACCTAAAATGAGTCGTTTACGGGTTATAAGGGTCATTTTATGGAAGTTTACTGTATAGCTTATGAGAGTTTTGCGAAAGAAATTGATAGGAAATCTGTGGAGAAAAAGATTAGAGATGAGATGGAAATCGAAATCACGAGAATTGAGGAATCAATCAGTAAGAGCATTTTTATAAATTACACACAATTTTTTTTGTTTTTTCTCTCTTTGAGTCACTTTGGATCATGAAAATTTGGATGCAAAATCAGAGGCTTTTGTGAAGAGAATTACGAGAATGCATAATGACTACAGCCATGGTTCTACTCAACATTTTAACAGCAGATAAGAGACAAATAGTACAAAGTTAAGTGTAATCTACGTAGATTTTAGTCAAATATAACATTGATTTTTCAAAGAAATTTCGATTCTAAATCGATTTTTTTATTCTTTTTATTGGTTTAGATTCGGTTATTTGGATACAGATAAAATTTTGTAGTTTTAAAAATTATTAATCAATTATTTCGATTCAAATCGGATCGATTTATCTCTGAGTTAAATACCACTAAAATTCTACCCGTAGTGTTTTTATTTTTTATTTTTTAAATGTTTCCTACCCATAGTAGTTTTCTATAATTAAAAAGCTTTTAAAAAACACTGTAAAATACAAAAAATCACTGGAAAATACAAAACACTGTAACATACTAACATGTAATATAGTAGTTGATATTTGAGAAATTTTAAAAAACACTGTAAAATACAAAAATCAGTGACTAAATATTGGGCTTTCTCTTCTCTGTTGAACCCAAATATCGTAGAGCTTGAATCCTCTGTGATCTGCACCACACTAAATCAAAAACATTTCTATCAATCTAACGGCTTACATTTAATCTTCACCAACAACAGTGCACGTGATGGTTTCTCGTAACTCGTCGTAAGGATAATCTGAACTAGTGATGAG